TGCCTTGTCCCTGCACTCAAGCTTTACCAAGCTCCTTGTTCCAAAGAATCATTTCTCCTTAACTTGACATGACACTCCCCTTAGCACACATATCCAGTGCCTGTCCCAACTTGAAAACTGAAAACTGGTGGCAGTGCTCAGCCTGCTGCTGGAGCCCTCCCTCCCCTTACCTTGTTCTTTGAACCTGCAATCCTCCACGCTGGGAGGCTGGTGAGCAGCTCCTGTGTTTGCCCCTGTCAGTATGACTTGTGACAAGCAATTACCACAGCTCCCTCTTCAGCTTAAGGAGTTGTGCCATAGTCCTGTCTGGCTCCTATCACTGGATCTCCAAGGCATCCAGTGACATGTAAGACTCAAGGCAGAAGTGTGACAAAGCACGCACACGGCAAGTAAGGCAAGAGTGACTGACTTTCCCAAGACTTGGAGAGATTGTAAGAATCTTCAATATTGAACTGAAAAAGGGGTTTTTTTAAACTTAGCCTCTTTTAATACTCTTAGGGTCTCAGTACTGCTGTGGCATTAGGCAAGGCACTGCCTCCTTGGCTCAAGTGACGAACAGCACCACATCCCCATTAGGACAATGCTCCACATAAGGAACGGTGCCACCTCTTAACCTGCAGACTCAGCAATCACAGGCATTTTCTGCTTGTGACAGTCTGATTGCTATGTGTTATGCACCACCACCCCAAACAATGCTCTCAGACAATTTCCTTCCCTTAAATAAGCATGAAATACTGTTCAAATAGCCATTTTAGGAAGGCAGGAGGCCACTGAATGTGGCTGTTGTGTGATCAGCTGCTGCTTGCCTCACAGCCCACACTGCTTTCAGCAGCTCAGTGGTAGTAGCGCTGGTTCCCAGCAGCTTTCCCTCATTTTACCACCAGTTCTGATGGATGGGCAGTATGAAGAAGCATTACAGCCATGTATGATGCTGGCCAAACACCATCAGCTTGTGCACTTACCCTGCTGTTGGCTTACCTGTGGCCTAGTGCCCATAACATCCAGACAAATTTTGTAACAAGGTTCTTGTCCTAAGGGCCTTTTTGCTGTCATTCAACTGCTTCACTCTCCTAAATATTTCCTTTCCTGCTTTCTGGCTGTGACACTAATGCAACCTGTCTTTGAATAAGGTAGACGAACATCCACAGCAACTGAAGCAAGAAAAAACACCATTAGAATCACCTTATTGTGTCTTGTGAGATTAGTCTGCCCTTGATAATTGAGCATGGGACCACAGACATTCTTCCATAAATTTACCAGGACCCAGCCTAAGCCTTCAGATTAACCTGGAAGAACACTGTATGACTCATGAGTAGCTGATGGGAAAATGACAGCAGGTATTCAGGCTGAGACAAGCACACCCACTACAGCAAGCAACAACTGAACATCACACATGGAATGTTTCAGATTTATAAATGACCTTTCAAGCCTTAGTAGGCAGCTTAGGTAGGAAGGTTCAGATTAGGCCTGAACCAAAAATACTCCTTCACTCTAGCTCTAAAGGCAAGAACCCAGCTTACAGGAGTATCTGGAGCAACCTTGCACAAGTACTTCAGTCAGAGATGATTTTATGTGAAATAATTTATCTTCCTAAAAAATGAACTAACAAAAATGCTTCTGTTACATGTCACACTTGCATCCATCTCTTACCATGCAGTGTGGAGGTACCTGTGGTTTCTAATTCTCCTCCAGATAGAGAACTCGGTCTCGGTCAGTGATGAGCTGACCAAGAGTGACAGCTCTGCAGCAACTAACTGAGCTGCCCAGGTGTGTCCTCTTGGGGTACAATTCCCTTCCCTAACCCAGGTCAGCCAGTGGGTAGTTCCCCTGAGCACTTCACTGGAGCAGCCTTTCCCCAGACATACTCTACTTGCTCACCTAACCCTTATCTAAGACTTGAGGGGAGTTCATGAAAGCAAACACCACAGATAAGGCAGTCAAGCTGCTTGATGCCTCTTTTCTAATGCACTTCAGTGCAACATAATTAAATATTTGCTTTAAAAGAATCCTGCACACTTCCACGGAAAAGGCTGCAATAAACTGTACAAACTCCACTCCAGCAGGCATGTGATAATTAACCTTGTTAATAATGCAACACAGCCATGCTCATAATGCAACACAGTTCAGCAAAGCTCAATACATTTATCAATGTGATTGCACTAGAAACTGTCCAAACTTGCAAGTAAGTAGGAAAGCCTTGTACTAAACCAGACAGATTTGAACAAGCAGTCAAAACCCCAAAAAACAACAAAAGACCCCACACACTCCTAAACAAAACAAAATCAAACAAACAAAAAAGGGGGGGAAGCAGGGGAGGGACTCAACACATCCTCTGGGCTGTGTACCAGAGCAGTCTCCTCTGAGGATTTCTAGGACAGAAGTGCTGCTCTTCTCTCTACAATGTGAGGGGAAGCCACAAGCAATTGAAAAGTTGTAAGAGTAGTTAAAGGTTATCTTTCTTATTTTACCAGATGTTAAGAACTCTTAGGAAACTTGTTGAACACTGATGGCAGCCCACTGCAGTTAAATGAAGCTCAGTGCCTAAGTAATGAATAATCACTCTTCCTTTTATTTCAGTGTCATATCACATTACAGTCAAGACATGTTATTGACAAAACCTACCAGACATTTTATTTTAAACTTCAAAAAAAAAACCCCAAAAAAACAAAAAACCCAACCCAAGAAGAAATGTATATAAATAGAGATGTCACAATTTCTGATGTCACTAGTCCATTAAGATGGTCCACAATAGTCTCAATGTGTTAGAAATACAATTACTTGAAAGCTATCAAAGCAATGTTTCACTTGGTTTAGACTTAAGTCAGCTAAGATACAAAACACCTGTTCCATCAGTTCCCAATAATCATATACTTCATACCCATGACAGAACATGGCTACATGTGAAGAGACCACCACTGAATATTTATGCAAAACCAAAAGTCTTCCTCTTAATCTACAGGAAACTACTGCAAAAGTATTTTGCATGTGTGGTTATAGAGGCCCACATGATAATCCAGGCTCAACAGCTGCACAGTTACTACCCAAACACTGACACATAAAATGCAATGTCATCACTCTTGCTCAGGATTTTAGGACATTTGACACATAGCACCAGTAATGGTAGAGGAAACCCATTTATTTTAAAGTTGCTGTAAATTGATTCAATAGACACATACTAAAAATGGAGATAAAACTAACATTCCCTAAAAGACAGCTGCATTTGCTTATCAGCTGCAATGGTAGGTGGAAGAGAGATAACTGAGTTTCACATAGTTAAGCAGGTGTATATTCCCAGTTGCTGAGGAAAAGCTTTTATCTTACTGGCTTCAAAGAACTTAGCCTGTCACACATTCCTTGACACAAGCTGGATCATTCCCAGCTTGACTCTATACAGGGCTCTTAGAGGTTTAAAAGTAAAGTATTATTTAATATACATTATCTGGGTCTGGATTCATTCTGCCTATGAAAATGAAACTGTTTTAAGTGCCAGCTCAGGTCTTGTTTCTCTGCTGAAGGGAGGGAAAGCCACTCTCAAAGAGGATGCTTAGGTGGGTCTGACTGTCCTCTGGGGGTGCCACCAGCCCTTAGACTAGAGACAGAGCTGAGGAAAGCTGCATATGTAGTGTAAGATAAAGCATTAAGAGGTAGGTGAAGTGAATCCAGAGTCTACAGCACAGCTCACTTATTCTCAGCTGCCTGCCACAGAAGTTATCTGTGCTAGCAGCAGATCCAGGACATAGCCCAGCCAGCCCCAAACAGACATTTGTAAGAAGAGAGGGTTAATGGTGCTTACCCACTCTGAAGAACATGCTACAAGCCCCGGACCAACTTTGGTTTACATTCAACACAGAAAGTACTTTTAAAACAGTTTTTTTTATGACTCAGTTTGGTGAAAAAGTTGAATTCTGAACCATTCTTCAACCATGTTGGAGAGAACTTCGAGGGACAATAGCAGTTACTAACCACTGAAAGCACTGTCTGCTGGAAAACATAGTTTTAATAGATATGCTTCATCTTACATAAGAGCACAATAAATACACCACATTCTATAGAAATCTCAGATGATACTAGAGGAAGAAGAGGTGAAAGAGGGAGAATACCAACAGACTACACAATCATGCCCCTGGATTGCATAACAAAATACTCCCTTACTGCAACCACTACAAGATGTCATTTATGCATTTCAGGTTGGCCTTGCCAAAAGCTTTCAAGCTTTTTGGTTGCGTGGTTGGTTGGTTTTGTGAGGGAGAGGGCTTGGGGAAAAGAAGAGAACAGAGATACAAGAAATGAAGGGAAGCAATTAGATGGGTTCCCAGAAGAGATACTGCACTTCTAGACAGGATGCATACACAAAAACAAGGACAAGAAGGAATTTTTTCATCACTTTCCTTCCCTCCAATAGAGAAGCTTTGTTGCTATCTAAGCTGACCAGTTGCTCAAGCAAGTAGCTTAATAAGGCTTGTAGAGAGAAACCAGTGGTATGAGTTGCTAGCTGTAAGGGGCTAAGCAGACATCAGTCAATGCATAAGCTGGCTCTAACAGTGGTTCTACCCACTGGAATTTCAAGTTAATAGAGAGCAGGAATTAAAGAAGTTAGAAAACCGTGCTGCTATGCAGATACTCATAAATAGTGCTGCTGTTTGCTCTCCACCTCCTAATTCATTCTGGTTTTGTCCATGAAAACACACATCGACGCATTGCTAAAATTAAGGTTACAACTGTTCCATCCGAGACTTGTTTCTAAAAGTCACTCCAAATGCAATTTCATATTAAATTGGCCATGTAAGGTCACCCACATAACACAAACTAATAAAAAAGTCAGGAAACAGATGAAGAAAAACAAATAAAAACCCACAAAAAATCCCTTGTGAATTCCCCTTCTTTACTGTTAAATCCGTCAGATTGGTGAAGAAAAATTGTCAATTCTGGACTCAATTTTTTTAAATACGATTGTCACAGAGAAATGAAAACACAGCAAAATAAACTATACAAAGGCAAAGTAGAATAACAAAAAATATTTTACTAAAACATAAGATTTACAGGAGATTTTCCAGACAAGCCATACAAAATGGTCACAAGCTTTTTCTTGGAGGGATTTTTCTACACTTGACAGCAGAATCACTATAGTATTAGTGAAGGTGATGGATGTTTAATGTTCCCGTTTTTTGTTCAAACAATGAAGCTTGTCCATCTACAGCGTCTAAGTTAGACTGGGCTAGAGGGTATATTCTAAAATATAACTGGTTAGCTGCTTTTACCAATGCAATTAGCATCACCAGAAAAAGGGAGGAGGAGCCCACAAAATTAAAACAAAAAGCCCCGCAGCTAACCCTGCCTACCTTCATTCACAGTGCTTATACTTAAACCATGACGGGAAAAATGATTAAAAGCAGAGATGTGCTGCTGCTTTCAAACAATTTCACAACAATCCAGATGATACTTCTAGCCTCTGCTCATGCGGTACAATAGTGAATTAGGACAAGACACAGATTTGCTAATGTGCATTTAATCACCAAAGGACTGAAGATGTCTGGGCTTTTATTCTGTAATGTTTCTAAGACTGTGTCCATTAAATGCAAACAAAAAAAGGAAGAGGTCTTGGCAGAACAGGAGAAGTGATGCACACTTGATGTTCGAAGCGCATTTAAATATTATTCATGGCATATAGCCTAGTCCATGCTCTGGCTGTAAAGAAAAAGAAACATATTTTAGAAAAGATGCAGTTTTCAAGCTTGATTAAAGTAATTTTAAATTCATATTCTTAAAGATCTCTTTTACAACACTGCTGCAAGCACACAAAAGGTATCAGTTCTGAGATTTTTAAGTGCAATTTTGAATTCCAGCAGCTGTCAACTTTTATGTATTATAGAAGCAGTCTGACAGTAGTGGATTCAAAAGTGAAGAGGCATAACATAGCAACTCTTGCTTTCCACTATAGCCTGCAACAGATGCAATGTAGAGATGTACTTTCCAGAACCTGTTAATCCATTCCTTAAGCCATAGAGGACAAGCAGTAGAATGCTCCTTCATTTTACCAAAACTCCAAATTAGACAGACTACCAAATTAGGACCATTAGACAGACTAGCATATTAGGACCATCAAAATCCAAGATCAAACAGATCAAGAGAGTTTCTTCTTCTATCAGGCCTCACAGACTTAAAAATAGACCACTGCAGGCACATTCAGGGCACCTGGACTATGACTGTATGTAGTAATGTTTTGTTTCTTCAAGTTGCAGACATAAAACTAGAGGTCAGGCTTTACACACCATTCCTAAACCTAGAGGAAAAAAAAAAAGTTAGAAGATACATCACCTGTTTCTATGGCTTGGGCTTCATTGGTCTTCCATTGCTCAGCTACATCATTTGCTAGTGGATCATCTGGATTGGGAGCACTTAACAAAGCCTGGATTGATAGCAGAACTGTACGAATCTGCAAAGCTGGGGACCATTTATCTGAAGAAACATTTATAGCACTATGAAACACCATATTCACCACAGTCTACAGAAATAGCAAGTTTTTCCAGATTAAAGAAGAAGCAAGATATTCTTTAAACACAAGAAAACTCTTTTTAGGGTCAACTTACAAACATCTGTATTTAATATGGTAAGAAGAAAGAAAACATAGTACCACTTACCTTTCAAAATATCTAAACATATTCTTCCCAGCTTGTCTACATTAGGATGGTAAATTTTGGTCATGAAACGTACTTTAGGAGCTGCCATTGGATATTCTTCTGGAAGGAATAGTTCAAGTTTAAATGTCCCACCCTCAAAGGGGGAATCCTGTGGACCTGCAATGACCACATGAAAATAGCGTGCGTTGCTTTCATCTGGCTCTGCTTTTATCCCAGGGACTGGCTCTGCCAGCAAGCGCTGGGTTTCCTACAAGAAAAGGAGAAAATGAAACAAATAAAACCCATTTAAAATAAACATAGAAACCGTAAGACCCGTATAAACCATTTAAAAGCAACAAGCATTCATTTAGCCTATATTCACAGAAACTGTGTTACGTTCCTCAAAGTCAAAGAACATCTGCAGAAAGGAGATGAGGCAGGGGTACACTGGTACCCATCTCCTCTCAAATCCTCACCTGCTGTGTTTCTGTAACACACAGTAATAGATAACTCAGCTGCCTCGATTTTCTTAACTTTTGACTGAACCATTGCCAAGCTGCTGTGTTTTTCTCAATATACTTAAAAGCACTTTAAAGAATACCACAATTAAAACACCAAAAGCATTTCCCATTCTACCTTAAATAAAAACTCCCAGAAGTGAAAAGCCAAAGGGATTAATCACTCACAGAAAGTGTTCAAGGCTTACTCTTAACAAGAGTGGACTGGTTTATTAAGCTGAACATTTGTACTGGAATCAGATCCAACTTTGAAGAATTTAAAGTGCTACTCTTCTGCAACACTAAAGGTGTATTTTAAGGATGTTTTATATATTTAGACATATAGATGCATAAATAGCTTTGGTGTGAGCACGTTCAGCCTACATATAACCATGTTTACAGTCACCCTAACAGACAGTAGAAGACAGTCAAGATGTTCTGTAAACAGCAAAACAAGGAAGGCCAGTCTCCTACAGGGACCTGGTTTCTTTGTTGCTCCATTCTTCTGCCAAGCCTACCTCAGGCACCAAGCTGTGAGCACAGCTAAGAGCTGCCCACCCAGCTAATGCGCTGAGCAGACACACCAAGGCAGGTACATCCTCCTTTCCTCTGCTGCCTGCCTTCACAAGCCTTATGGACACCATTCCAGCTCTTATGAAAAAAAGACCCCAAGGCCAAAATGGGCAAAAGGACACTAGGCAGGGACAAAAAACTCCTGCTAACGCCTCATTTCCTCACACAATTTTAGTCCCATTTCCTCTTTCCTTCTAAGAGTGCTTTTACTGTGTACACTTAATTTTTTCACCATCTTTCTGTGTTGGCTTTCACAAAGAAAAATCATCCTGTTTCTACTGACAGAAGATGTCAACTTGTAGGTGTAACATTATTTTATTATTTCAGTTTTATAGCATATTTATTCCACATGTCTACAACAGCACTTCCAAGGATGGGGCATGCACAATTTCTCTGCACAACCTGTTCCACTACCTCACCACCCCCACAGTAAAGAATTTCTTCTTAACATCATATCTAAACCCACTCTCAGTTTGGAGCCATTTCTCTTGTCCTGTCAGTATGCACACCCTCATAGTCAGCCTCTCTCCAATACAGTAAGTCTCTATACAAGCACAAAGCACACAGATTACCTCTACTTAGCTAAATAAATTCTTCAAACCTAGCTGCACTGCTGCATTACTCTTGCAGAAATAAGTGTACACAGCATTAAGTGATATGGCTGTCCTGATGCAGTTAAATAACAACTTATTTTACAAAAACTGATCAATACATAAAGAAGTAAAGTCATTGGTAATTAATTCCAAAATCCAATTACTCATCTCTGAATTGTCAAGGTCCTACAAATTATAACATAAAATTTATTACTATGTATATTTGCAAACCTAAAACTAAATATAACTGGTGTGCTTCCTTGTTGCAACTACATATTGTCTACTTATCTGCATAGACATTAGATGACACTTACCTCACTAGAAGGCCATCCAAGCCTCTTAGAGATGTCTACATTTACTTCTGTGAGTATATTTACATTATAAACATAACTTTATAACTTACTCATTAGTATTCTGCTGGCTATTTACTTGTATACTAATTGAGTAGAAAAGCAGTCATAACAAATTCTGATAGTTTACATTCAATGGTATGAAAAGTCAGTAAGAAGCTACAGATAACCCCTGAAATGCATAAACCATTTTCAGTTTGTTTCAGCAGGCTGTCAGTATGAGTCCTGCCTCAGGTAAATGGGACAGTTTGGGTTTCTGCCTGTGAAAGACCATATACTGGTTGGACAGCTCTGGCAGAGGAAAGTGCCTTATGCTAAAATAAACTAATGTGAGCCAACTGAAAACCTAAAAATGAGGAACTTACAGGAAAGACCAATTTTTAAACTTTTTCACAGCTGGACTTTGCCAGAGATGTGTTTGTAAGGAAACCGTGGCTTTGGTTCTGATGGGCACGCTCAAAGACTATTTTTTAATATTAAGGATAACACACTTTAATAGCTGGGCTGATCTCAGCAGTCCCCAGCTCCCCCTCAGTCACCCCAGTCCCCAGACTGCATCCCTAGTTATGCCAGGATGCTGACTGTAACTAACTGGGAGCCAATCCTGGCTTAAAACAGCCCAGAAGCAGCAGCTCTCTGGCAGCAGCATCAGCACTTCTACCTGCCAGCAGATCCGAGGGAGCAGTCCCGGCTGCGAGCTGCACGTTCTGCCGCTAAAAACCACTTGTCAGAAAACAATGGGAGAGCCCAGAGATGAGAAAAACAATTCCTTCAGTGCAGGCACCCCATAATACCTAAGGGGCCGTACCACTGTGAGCATGTCACCCTGCTCAGAAAGCCCTTCATGCCTCCACATTCTGTCACTGTGGTCACCTCGCTATAAACACCCCAGAAAAAAGGGTTGCCAAAAAGAGTGTTTGCGCTGCATACAGCCACCCGAGTACTGAGCCTCCTCTGAGCCCACAGGGGAACATTAATATTAGATGAAAATTCCAAAGAGCACACCTTGCTTCCTGCACTGCACACAGAGCTCCGTCACTATCAGTGTCATTGAAGCTGTTTCCAAACACAAATGAGGATGAACACCTGTGAGGGAGCTGGCTGACACTCATCTCTCACACCTGCCAGGCTCCGCTGCAGCAGAGAGCAAGCACCAGGCTAAACTTCTCCAAAACACTCAAAATGAAAGGCCATGATCCCATGAACACACATCACTGCCTTTGTGCAAAAGCTTCAGAAAACACTTTTGTGCACAAGCTTCAGAAAACAGCTTTTTAGAGCTGTATAACACAGACAAGCTTGTTAGACTGCAATGAACACAGCAAAAATGCTGTTTATTGAATGTGCAATGTTTGTACTTAAATACATCAATACGTCCTAAATTCTGACAATAAATGACGGGTTTGTCCTGCAATTATGAAGACATTAACAATAATATCTTAAATATATTTGAGAGGACATCATGGAAAAGGAACAGAAAGGGAGAAATTAATCAAAAAGTTGCATTGTAAGGTCTAAGCATATAAAATGCTTAAATATACAACTAGGCCCAATTCTGAAGTGATTACAGGGACTCAATTTCCACATTTTAGGGCAAGACAGACAGTTGCAGACATGCTGATACTAAAATAAATTTGATTTGCCATAAAACTTGCAAAAATAAGTCATATTTGAGAAAAAAATGTGAGTATACAGGCAAAGTTATGCACCTGGTCACAACATACAATTTTAATTCTTTTAAGTGTACATTACCAATTAAAAACCCTAAATAAACAAAACAAAAAGAAACACAAAAAAAAGGCCACTGCAAAAAATAACCACCTACCACCCTGTACATCACCCACGAGAGAATGATGAGAGGTGGACAAAACAAGGAAATATTGAACTACACATTGATCTTATTCTCTAATTCCCAGAGGACGGCTACCCAATGAAAATAAGTATCCCAAACACATTTAAAGAAATAAATAAATGCTTAATTTCTTTTAATGAAACTTTTAATTTACCACCTTTATTAACTCATCAGGACAACTGAACACATGCAATACTTGACTTCCCACTTTTTTTAGGTATACTTTCTTTACTTACACTTTTTTAACTGAGGAAGTGAGTTTTATGCACTCTGTTACTTCCTCTTTTTCCCCCAAAACTGCCTTTAGCCCCCTTGTCCAATTTCAACTGTTCTGTATGTTTTGTAAGCTGTCAATGGCTAAGGATAACCAAGCTCAGTGCTACTGGAGAGGAAGACATGAACAGCTCCAGCACTACCACTGCTGTTTGGCCAATTTATTCCAACCAAGTATAACCCTTGCCCAGCAAAAATCTCTGACAATAAGGATAAAAAGAGCTGAAACACACAAATACAAACATGCTAAAAAGGACAAATATAAATTCAGAGAAAAGTGGGTTTTGCAGTTCTGCTGCTCACAAAAAATGTTTTTACAACAGAACAGTTAATTTTGTCTCCAACAAGAATACAAACTCCCATCGAGTTCCAGAATTGTATTGTGTAGTGGTTTTTATTAGCTCTCCTCTAGCATACTGAAGTTTCACAGAAGATATTTCAGCACATATTTCGAAAGCTCTAGAGCCTTCAGTGAAGTTTCCCATGCTGTCATAGGCAATTATCTGTCATACTCTGCAATGTTTTTAGATTGACATTTCTTCTCACTCCTGTATTTACTCCACTTTTTCCAATTCCAAGTAATGTAACAATTTCTATTGACTAAAATAAATTAATAAACCCAAAAAGATACATGCCAGTCCATACTTGAAAAAAACCACATCTGACAACCACAACTGCTTATGCCTCCCCCCTCTTTATGCCTTCCCTTTTTTATTTTTAATTAAGTGGTTAGAAAACACAGAAGTGTTGAAGGTGTTTTGACAAGCAAAAGCAAAGCTTTCCTTATTAACACAGGCGGCCTGAAGCAGAGTGACAGATGATACTGATGGCACAGATGGTGTAGCTGACATTCTGCACAGCTATTCTTCTATGAAGACATTAAATTGAAAACTAATTATACCTGAGGGGGAAGAAACCCTCAACCTGTTTTCACAGTACCATGTGAGGATAGGAAGTCGCAGGAAGAGAGAGCATTTGATCTTTAGAAGAGACCAGCAGAGCAGGAGGCAGGGGTGAGGGCTTTTGAGCTTGCCAAGACTAAGAAAAGCCACACAATGAGGAGAGATGGATCTGCAGGAGAGTTGGTTTCATTCATTCTTTGAGCTATTGCTTGGTTATTCTGCTTTCAG